GTCGCCCTCCTCAGCTCCATTCCTACGTGCAGCTTGTCGGACCATCGTTTGGAATAATAGTTGGGTATAGAAGTGGGTGGAGGATGGAGGACGCAGAGACGATGAGTAGCACACGGCTACCGAGTGTCGGGACGATGGGGGGGGGGGTTGAATGTCGAGTGGTCGATATCAGAGAGCGGTCCTAGCTACGACCGCACTGGCGGGCACACGGATAAAACTAATAGATGGATAATAGATGCAGCATAGAAAGTTGACTTTGAATCTGTAATCCATATCTGCTTAGCGCCTATGTGGTCGAAGTTATGAGCCGTTAAAGGCTGTTATCTTGCTAAGAAATAGTTCATGCAAGGCGCAAATCTGGCATTGCAAAGCTTTGTTCGGTGTAATGCTGGGCCAAAGCATGCAGCTAAGTTACTTTATAATCCTAAAGCCTTGGATTGAAGCGAAGGTGCAACTGCATGCTCAATTTCGCAAATTTTATATACGATTTTTGCAAAATAAAACTGCTCATAACTTTAGTTCACAAAGGCGCGAAGTAGATAAGGAATGCAATTTCGAAATTAGCGTTGAATGCTCGAATAGTACGTAGCTTACTTGGATTGGCCACTTCGATTCTGGCCATTCCCTTGTTAGGAGTCTGTAAGTTGATGCCCTAAATGCTAACATTTTAAAAGTAAAATTAATTCAAGAAATTTTTAGGTACTTAGTTGGTAAATTTCGGGTTGGATTCCCAGGTGGAAGATGCGACCACATGCGTGCCACGTTCAGTCCTGAAAATATAGTAGGACCTATTTTTTTATAAATATCAAAAGAGTTAAGTTTCTAAAATGTTTAGGTTGTGACTTGCCGCCGCTTTCGTGCAGGATATCCAGAGCTTAGAGAGAGAGATACCAAAAATGGAAGAACTACACAACACCATTATAGAAGAGATAGAAGTAGCAGTCGTTTTATCAAAAATGTTGTTTGTCAGGATTTCTCTACAAAAATTGGATAAATGATATAGCCCTTGTAAATTTACTCTGTGCTTACCACTTCATCCGCAGTTTCTCATCTCAAGGTCCCTACAAATCGCGGTGGTCTGCGTTTTGGCAACTTGCCAGAGCCCCGCAGATCGAAGCATGTGAAATTCTACTGCATAGGCGCGAAGCTTTTGTAAACTTAAGCGTACATGCCAAATCTTGCTGACATAAAGGCGCCTACGCAGAAGTCAGATAATGTTATGCAGTACGAGACCGAAATCGAACGAATAGGACTGATGCCATGAGTTTTGTTTGCAGAAGGAGAGGAGGAACGGTGGATTAGGGGTATGATTGCAAAAATACATTCATGAAAACGGATGAAGCTCGTTGTTCAAGCGTATAGCTTGCCTCCAATACTTTTTATAGATGGAGCCGCTGGCGCTTTCAAAGGTCTTTTTTGTGTTACCATCGATGCGTTTCACAGAGTGCTAGTTGCGTCTATAGTCGCTCATGACTCTTTATGCTGTACACGCTGCGTACTACACGACTAGTGTTTTTCTAACACACTCAAGTTTTTGTTGTTCTTGATTAAAACGACGTAGTTTTATGCGGCTACTTAGCAATTAGTTTTTACAAATCAAACGATTCAGCTGTTGTTATCCTCCACCGATATTGGCGAATGCCCGTCCTACTATCGGTGATAGCTCGTCGCTATTTTTGGCAATGGAAATAATCTCACTGATACTGGACTGCACTCTAAATAAACATTTTGCGGTCAGGTTGATACTCGATCAATCACATTCAACTAATTGCTGAGACCAGCGCTTCAGCGATTATTTCGGACTAGCTGGCAAACCCGGCTCAGCCCGGCCCTGTCAATAATATATTCGTAAAGCAAGCTCACTTGCGACGCTTTACCCCAGGTTTCCTCGTATCTTGCAAGTCCAATCCTTTATAATGTAAATATTCTTGGTTACCTTCTGAGTTGAGGAAGCGATGATTAGTAGTTGCTGGAAGTTGAGGCTAACTACTCACAAGTGGGATGTGATGAGGACTTTTGTGGAAAGCGATATTTATACTCCCCTGTGAGAAACGGAGCAGCGCGAAGAACTCCGTAGAGGGGATAGAATTTGGAGAAAGGCATCGACCCATTATCTACTATATAAAGAATCATAACGCCAATTCAAAAATCATCAAATAGCGGGAAGCTGCGGCGCGGTCCCGATGCGAACGCTCTTGCTAAGGCCCTTTAGATTACTGTTTCACTAGTAGAATAATAAAATTGCGTCAGGCTGACTTACCCTATCTTTGTACCAGCATACCTGGCTTTCCAATTAGTAGGTCTTATTTGAGAAAGCAATAAGTATTTTTACAAACGTTTACTATATTCGTGACCACAACTCGGGTCCTTGCTCACTTCACACACTTGCGTCAACTCTCAGCTCAGTAGTTCAGTCTGGTGAAACAATCCGTTATTAATGGCTAGCGAAAAGTAGTCTTCACGCCTGCCCCTTCCCAAAATGCGTGCCGTCTAGACTTTGTTCCAAGTCGAGTAAATGGAATTTTTATTCGCAATGTATACAAGATTCTGAAGAACTTGTGCGCACTGGAAGTTTTGCCACGCTAAGGGTGGGAGTGGGGTGTAACTCTGGATTTAGAAACGATTGGAGCACCACGATTTGGAAAAAGTCTGCGATGTTTCCTTCTTTCACATTGTCTTAGAATAGATTCTGCGCCCGCCCCTGGGGCCGGCGAAAATCCGAGAAAGGGAACGACGCATTACTTCTCCCACGGACTTACAATAACGGTGCACTGCGAAATTACGAGTGAATTATAAGCCTATGTGCGCGCGAGCCCTACATCTTATCTTGGAAACAGCCGGTTGCCTCGTGAAAAGCATGAAGAGTAGTCGGGGCTCCACAACAAAACTTTAGTGGGTCTTTGGCATCTGAGGTGACGAGAGTTGTGTGAACGGTAGTTGAGACTACGATTTCGGCTAGCTTAGGCAAATTATCTATGAAGTTGACGTGGATGTTCGTCTTGACGTTGATGATCACAACGACTCGACATGGAATACAAGCTGAAGTGACTCCGAAGAGGCAAAAAATGTACTGCTTACAATCACGGTTTTTGACGTCCTTGAGTTTTTGAGAGGAGGGAGATCAGGGCTCGGCATGAGGTGGCTTTTTCAGTTTTTTAACAACGAAGTCCCCGTAGACTTCGCCACAAAAATACGACATCACCTATGACGCGTTCACAATAACGGAATATAATGAAATGAAACATAAAATCAACATTGAACAGACGAAAAGGAATCAAAGATGTTTGTAATCCGAATTGGCTGCATGCTGTGTCCGGCGCGCACCCTTGTGCGCAGCAAGCTTGCCGGCGCCATACAAAATATTTGCAAGGCTATAACTAGGCGAGGAGGAAGGGGTTTGAGGAGATTCAAAAACTCAGCTGTAGGGTTTTTGATGTAGAGCAAAGTTATGTAAAATATGTGAAAAAATTATGTGAAGGGAGGAAAATTTATGACTTTTTCTTTTACAGCCACCTCAGGTGGCTGTCCAGGTGGTTGTAAAGCCACCTAACTCCGAAAAAAGTTTGCCGCGACTTTAGTTCACATAACTTTTTCATAATTTTTTGCACATAGTACTATCCCCTCATTCCCCATCTACACACCCATTTTGGTGTCATTTCATTCTCACTTCGCTGTAAACAAGCCCTTGTTTGTTTAGGAGACCATGCTGCCGAAATGCCGGCGGCGTGCTCGCAGCAGATCGAAAGACAGCGGTATGCTCTTCCGCAAAAACGATACCCCTTTGCTTTTTGCCACCAAAACGATATCCAGCTTACCCGGTAAGCCACCTGTGCCGAGCCCTGGGGGAGATTGCATCATGGTATGTGTCACATTGAAAATTGACCACACGGTCGACCAGAAGTTAAAAACCGGTGGTGATAGTCAGAAATGGGAACGCGTAATAGAGCAGCCGCTGCTGCCGTCCTCACGTCAAGGCTAACAACAATGAAGAAGACAAGCTTGAATTCATTATTCGGGCAGATTTTACAGTAACGAGAAAGTAGCTGGGTACAATAACGTCCACGTAGGCGATGATTCAACCCGCCCCATCTGAAAATATCGCTTTTGAAGCGAGAAAACGTCTTCAAAGGCTTCGCCGCAGTAGCTATTCCATCCACGCTCGATTCCAAACTGCAATCCTACCGCTTGCGGGATGGAAGGCGAGGGGCGCGAAGATCTTTTGGAGGAGAGCATGCGACGAAGCAGCGATATAATCGGCCGGACTCGAGGACATAGGATCTAACAGGCAGGTTCGATAGCATGCAGGTGATAGGTCGCAGGAGGTAGCGGCTGGTAAACCAAACCCTAGAATTATAGTAGTGGGACACTTCAATTCAACTGCCTTGGCGGCTGGAAGGCCGAGCTTTGTGCCTGATTAAGGCTAGGTAATGGACAGGGCATGGGAGAGTCGGATTGTGTCGCGGGCGTGAGCGGCCTTAATTACAAAGCCCCGACTCCCAGCCGAGACAGCTGAATCAAAGGTCAAGAAGGTGCAGGGCTTATCAAATGAAGTGTCGCTCGCCCCATCATCCCCACCCCTCATTGGGCTCTGCGTCTCTTGCGCGGAACAAGCTCTCTGAGTACTTTCCCAGGGTAAGCTTAGGGAAAGGCGGGGCCTCAATTGATTGAAAGTGATTAGGGAGCATGTTTTGCAAAGAGACGCTGGATTCACTAGGAGTGGAGATGCTGGGGCAAGCGACACACTTCATTCGATAAGTGTTGGTACATGGAGAAGGGTAAGTTAGACTGTATTTGCAAAACAATAAAACTCAAGGAAACTTGTTTGGAAAGGCTAAAGACCGCATACAGTGCCCTCAGACTGCCTTCACTGCCTTTGTCGTCGTTGCTGCTGATTTCGATTTAGGTGTGGCGGAACAGCTGCTGCACCGAAGCTTTTGGAACGGTTTTCTCACTTTAGATTATTTTGAGTTAGGACTTGGGCTTAAGCATCGCCTGCGTGGATGTCATCGTACCCACAACCATCTCGTTACCGTCAAATCTGCCCGGACATGGAGTCACAAATTGTGGTAAGGAATATTGAGCGTTTGTAAAATTACTCTGCTTCCTCGAATTAAAGCTATGAACTGGAAAGCCAGGTGTTGGTACACGGAGAATTGTAAATTAGACTGCCACCACGAGTACGTTATTCTTCCTTGAAACTATCGGTTGCCTTTACCGGTTAAATTGTTCTTTTTTGTTGATTCAATTCTTGGATGCTGATAATTGGTATAGAGTGTGAGCATAATTGTGAAAATAGCATTGATTAGCATAAAATCATTGCATTTATTTTTTAAAATTCATTTTTTGCTGCTTTGAGGTGGGACTTATGAAGTTTTGACCGTTATCAAAACGATTTATTTATTAGCCAGCGCGTTTTGGCGGGGACCTAAGATGCCAGTTACTTTTACATAAATTTATTCTACAGGCTCAGGGCTCGTGGCGAGCTGGATATCATTTCCGGGCATACGCGAGGGGTGATACCGTTTAAAAATTTCACCCCTCCCCCCGCCCTCCTTCCCCATAATCATTCTCCCTCTTATGTAACCATCTTCATGGAGGACGCAGATTGTCATTCTTGCCTTATCGATCCCATTCCTGCAAAAACCAAAAACTGTTTCAACAGGTTCGCCGGTTAAGAACGCGAATTCAAACTTGCCCCGAAATAAACAAAAGCGTTGTTTACAGCGAAGAGAAAGTGAAACGATACCAAAATTGGTGTGTAGATGGGCAATGGGGAGTTAGGACTATGCATGTGAAATTATGAAAAAGTCATGTGAACTGAAAGCGTGGCAAACTTTTTTCGGAGTTAGGTGGCTTTCCAGCCACCTGGATAGCCACTTGAGGTGGCTGTGAAAAGAAAATTCATAAATTTTCTTCCCTTACATGATTTCTTTGAGGTTTAACATGATTTTGTTCTAGATCAAAATCCTACAAGGGTTTTTTTGAATCTTCCCAAGTCCCCTCCTCCTCGCCTAGTTACAGCCCTTCAGATATTTTGCATGACGGCGGCAAGCCTGCTCCAAGCGCGCAATGGTGCGCGCCGGACACAGCGTGCCGTTAATCCGGAGACTACAAATTTCTTTAGTTCTTTCTCGTCTGTTCAATGTTGTTTTTATGTTTTTTTGCACAATTTTTTGTTATTCGTGTTTGATCCATTCATTATCGGGTCGTAGGTGACGTCGTAATTTTTGAGTCGAATTCTATGAGGACCTCGTTCTTGAAAAGAAGAAAAAGCCGCCTTATGCAGGGCATTGCCAAGGCTTATTATATTGCAGAAATTTGGTTCCAGTCCCCCTTTCTTTCGCTAGGACCAGAATTAGCATAAAATCTGGATTTCAAGCAAGACAGCGTTCCACTTTAGCTAAATATACACTACTCAAAGGATGAATGGTTTCTAGACGAATCAAGGAGCAGTCCGTTTACCAAAACCGCCCCGATTGTAATCGCTTTTTTGGAAATGTTCAAGAACGCATATGTATTTCAAAGATTTCTCCTTCTAGTATGTTTAACTACGATGGCGGATGGATTGTGTGTACGTAATCCTTGCGTCAAAGATTTTTTGGTAGATCTTATATCAACAAAACGTTCGTGACCTCGTGTTTTCCTCAATAGTATTTATTATAGTCGAAGATGTTAGGCGGTTCTTACGATTTTATAGAAAACGAAAGTCAAATATAAGGGGGAAATGACTCATGCAGGATTAGGTATGACCAGGAATAGGTGAGTTTGGGGTCCACAGGAACTCGAAAAAAATGAAAAGTGAAAGTAAATTAGAAGGATTTAGGAAAAAGATCGCTGCCAACCAGCCTTAGTTTCCATCAACTCAAACAAATCGACGAGTAACCGATTCGCGAAAGCAAAGCACAGTTGACTCTATGTAGTTTTTCAAGAAGTCTGCACTGACTGCAACTTCGGCTAAGCAGCTCGGCGCCTACCTCCTCTTTTCCTATAGACCGAATTCTTTCCCATCTTAACGGTTGCCTCATCCACTTGAGTCGTCTAATTTATAGTTTCTGTATATCATGTACGGCTTCAAGTTCTTTTTTTTCTAGGACAAAATGATGCACTGGCAGGTTACAAGGACTGAAGGCGCTATGTACAATGGATCTTCACGGCTAGTGGATGATTTATATCCGTCCTTCCAGGTAAATTCTGATTTTCTTGCAAAATTTCGCATCAGTTCAACTCACTTTTGAGATGCAAAAAATTTATTGAGGACATGTCAATCTGATAGAGGTTCACCAATTCTCAGAAAACAATGATTAAATTACTTTCAGTGCGTTCCATGAATTTTTGTTTCGGGCAGAGAAAGAGACAAGCTTCGTGACTAGTGGCGTTTTTTGATATTTTAGCGAATTTCAATTTTTGGAGAAAGTTATCAAACTTCTACATTGGTCTATCAAGATTTATCAGTAAAATTTATATCTACTAACAACAAAGTTTAAAAAAATTTGGAATTATAATCTTGCATAATTTTATGATATGTGGGCAACTTTGAAGAAAAATCACCTTTATCTTCTTCCTCATTTCTCCGCCGACTCAGAGTAATAAAAAACTGATGAGTGCCAGTATTAAAATGATGCAAAAATAATGAGCGTTTGCCCATTTTTCACAGTTTTTCTGAAGTCTTGTTTCTGACAAAACATAACTCCTTTCACACTTTGTTCTTATGATTTATAGGCAGCCTATCTTGTAGCCCCAAGCCAATAATACAAATACACATATGAAGGACTTGGAGAAAAAAGATTAGCGAAGAGGAAAAAATCGAAATTCAAAAATATCAACTTTTTCAGCATTTTCTCAGTAGGCCTCAAAATCCCGTAGTATAGCGTTTTCTAATTTTCTGCGTATTGAACAGCTGGATGTTTTTGCAAAAACTGCTATAGGATTCCTACACCATGCTTACGGAGATGGGCAAAGTTTGAGCGACTGCAATCTACGAAAAAAAGTTATGGGCTCTAAAATGACCACAACCAGTACTCATGTTAAGCCGCCGATATCTCACATCAGATAGCTTCAGAAAATATGGTCAAATATGCATAATGTAGACAATTTCTATCACATATAGCGGCTAAATTTTCGCTAAACTATCTTCATTCGCGCTCAAATTCTGGCCAGAAAAATGAATGCAACGAAAATCTGGTTTTGAGTGCGATTATTTAAAGCTCTATAAATTCTTAACAGAGTGGGCTGAAAGTCCACTTTGAACACCATTAGATAGAGCATGAAAAGAGCTTTCTAACAATATGCGGAAACCATTACAAAGAAAGAAGTTGGATGGAGAAAAGTTATCTTGAAAAAAGTCCTGCGCTTATTATTTCCGCATCATCCTAATATTACTCAAACCCTTCACTTTGAGGGCTATGAGGGGACACAACCTTCACCTGGAAAAAAACAGAAGCCATCCGGGGCTTCGCCTTGGATATTATTATCCTGACTATATCGGAACGTATGTTAATGAAGCAAATATAGGGGATAATATCTCTAGCTTACTTCAGCAAAACCGAAAATTTGCGTTTTTATAGCCTTTTTTAAGCTCTAAATAGAAGGTTTCTGTTGAATTTTCGCAAGAATTCAGGACGAAATTTCTCAGCTAACCTCTTATTTGACCAAAACAGAGTTTCAAAAGTTTAGGAAAGCTATTGGAGTTGAACAAAAACTAGAAACTGCGCCTAATTCTTGCGCAGAGATTCGCGCATTAATACGCTGGTTTATCTCGTTAATGAGTAATTTTCAAAGCTTGGAACGTTGTCAGTTCTCCTTGCCGGGTCATGACGATCAGAATGATATATAATGTTGCAGGGTTTCGTTGAGACCCCGCTAAGATCTACGACCAGAGCCAAATGCCCCGTCGGCTCTGGTCTGTCTCCGCTGCTCGTCTGCGTCTCTGCGTGCTGCGCGCTACCTCGCTACCTTAAACGCGGGGCGCGGGGCATTTGGCTCTGGTACCCTTTTCTTCGCTGTTTCGAACCCAAACTTTGCAAGCTATATATCATCTTGAAGCTCTTGATCTCTATATTCACGCTGACAACGTCCCAGAACCACATTTTTTGATTTGATCGAGAAATCCGGCAAAAACCTTGTTTTCGAAAATTTCTTGTTTTTCTCCTAGTTTAACTCTTTTCACGCGGTTTTTTCGTGCATTCTAAAGATCTTGCTTCTGTTCTTAATGCTGACAACCACCCAGCCCTTACCTCTTCGATTATGGTGGAATTTTTTGCGAAAAGCGTAAAAAGTGCGTTTTTCTTTACCTTGTTCTGTTTCAGTGCTTTCGCATCGATTTTTTCCAGCTTGGGCGATTGTTGCTCAGAACAATACAACAATCCAGACAACGTCCCAGAAACAGGAACGTCAATGCGGGGGGTAAAAATTCAAAGGACGCATCAAAAATCAAAACCCCGTGTTGCGAATTGCTGGTCCTGAAGCGAAAACTTGCACTCTGAAAAACCGCCAAAGGAAAGATTTCAAAACTTATTGCAGCGTTTTTATCCGGTTTACAGCGGTTTCTTTTGCCTTTTATATCTGTTTCACATCATTTTCTATTCTCTGATCTTCTTCAAACAACCTTCACTATTTATGACGTCAGATGTTCAAACAACCTTCACTTTTGGCGCCCTGTCTCTAGACTATCGAAGGTATGCCGCTCACAGCATGTGCAAAATTCCCGCGCAAAATTCTGCGGAAGTCAGCGACATTCCCGGAATTCCGCCGCATTCACGGAAATTTTGCACATTTTGTGAGCGGTATTGAATTGCTTGTAGATGAGTAGTACCACAAAAGCTCAAATGAAAGAATCCACCGTGAGTAAGTGCAAGCCTGTTGTCTCGAAATCTGAGCATTGTCTGAGGTATTTTTTATTATATCATGCCAATCTTAGAGTATTTTATCCAATTTTTATTCCAGAGGGTTCCAAAAAGGATGCCCTACCTCACTTCCACTTTAAAAGCCGTGAATCATCGTGCTTAAGCTTATGTCACTAGGTCAATAAACACTTCATAGTGCTCTCACCTGCGTAGTAGAAATTGAAAAAGAGAAAGCAATCGATATCCTCCAGAAAATTTTCCAATGGATAAAGTAGCTGTTATTTTTGTCTGTCGTGAGTGGTAGATACATTTCATACGTTCTCGTAAGTAGCTCCCAGAATTAACTTGATCATTTAGTCCTTTCTACTGCTTTGTTTACAATAGCTAGCGATCACATAGCGGAAAGTAAACCTTCGGTATTATAAAACCGCATCAAGTTAAACATTTCTAAGAAAGAGTAAATAACGTAAGCTCTAGGCTGATATGCCGATCGTCTCATTATAAAGTCACATTGCGAATGTCAAATAATACGAACTCATTTTTGATTTTTGATTTTTTTTCAGCCACCACGCTTCACAAGTAATGACACTGCCATTGATGGACCAGAATCTCAGGTGAGTAATAGATGAGTCCTCAAATCTTATTGACATTGATCGATCCTTACAATTAAGCTGGCACTTTCTCGTTATCTAAACCGTTATTTAAGTTTTGCCTCTATGCTAACATGCGAAAAATTACAATCAAAGAAAGAATCAATGTATTCACAGCTTCTGCATATTCACTTTTTCGTTAGATGTCAGTCGATATCCTACTATGACTTGAGACTCATGACCAGGGCTCAGCAGAGGTGGCGCTTTCACACGCTGGATGTCGTTTTCTTAGGAAAAGCAAAAGGGAACTCGTAGAGTTCCCAAGAGTGATTTGCGGAAATCTGACCAAATAATAGTGGGCGAAAGCTAACCTTTGGTAAGCCCTTAATTCGACTCTGACATCATTTCACAAGTAACAGGTAGAGTAACACGATACAAACAGGGTAAGTGCTCAGACCTGTGTGCACACGACTTCAACGTGTTAAAACACAATCCTTATGCATAGGAAAATAAATAATCAGTTTGTTTACTAAGTAAGCAAAATTGAGCCATCAAATTTGGTGTATAGGTTCGCGACCACGATCAAAAAAAAGTACGAAAAATTATGAATAAAGTATGTGAATGAAAAGAGTTGTAAATGTTTTTCTAATTTAGGTTGCTCCCGCGCAACCTGGGAGCACCCTGAGGTTGCGCGGAGCCAAACAAAGTTAGAAGTTTCTCCCTTCTTCACATAATTTTTCACAATTTTTCACATAAATCTGTTCTTCAGTTCACACTAAATCTATGTATGCTAATCTTAACCCGAATTTCATCTTCTCTGCTTTACTACGGCCTTTAAATAATGTAAAAACCGCTTATTTTTCACGTGTTGATCTTTAATCAGCAACCTTTCCTGACTTCTATTCAGTCATCGTAAGCTGCAGGTTATTAGCCATATTTCTACAAACACCACCAAGAGGTATCTCGTAATCTTCTGCAATGTCAAGGGGGACTCCGTTTTCAAAATTCTCAACGCCACCTCGTGCTGGACCCTGCTCATGACTTCCCTGTAAATTCACTGGAAACTGGACTGACTACAAGAGTTGAGCTTTCTTCAAAACTCTTCAAATAGCTACATTAACATTTCGAAACCAGCGTTTAGGCAAAATCTATCTAGGATTAGGATATCAGAACCTGTGAACGAAAAAAAAAAGAAAAGTGCTGTCAAGCCATGCCCAACTTATTGAGCTCCGGCCACACTATTTACTGAAACTGTCCATACCTCCAGGATAGGGCTCCCAGAAATCGGAATTTTGTTTGCATATCTTGCAGTTCCTACTGTAAGGGTTACCTAGAGGCTTCACGACAAAAATCCTGGAAGAAAATTCGGGTAGATGCTTCGTTTTGCTTCGTTTATCTCTTGAAAAAGTGTAATGAAAGGGCTAACCAATAGAAGAAGGAAAATAAGGATCAATTGTATCTTCTTCTCACTGTGTTCAACCTCCCCGCTCTCTCGTCTTTTGCAAAGTGTAGGAAAACAACTGGACTCTAGTGCAAATTACCTTCTTTTACCAGAAAAGATAAAAGTAAGAACGTGTCGCTTAACAGCGTTCGCGCTCTGTCTCCGAAAATTTTATGTGCTGAAATGTTTCAAGAAAAAAGACGTCTGTCACAATCTAGATAATAGTTAGAACTATTTGAGAGGAAAGTATGGTCGAGTGCTAGTAAAAACATCCACTTCTCAGTTGGGAGTTTTAAGTTCAGTTGCTTGCCTCATAGCGTAAATCAAGAAGTCTCAGCGCACTTCTGTTTCTTCGTTAGTACATCTCGGCTTCTTTAAATTTTCATTTCATTTCCGTTTAATATAATCAGGGCTTCTCGAAAAAATTTATCACAATTAAAGAGGCTCTGTACCTTCTCAATCAAAATGGTATGTCAAACACATCTGTTCATCTTTCACTTGGACTCCTTGCGGTCAACTTAGTTTTAATGTCACCAAATATAAATCAAAATGGAAGCTAAATTGGGTAATGTTATTGGCCTTCCTACCGGTTCACCTAACAAATTCCATGAGTGCTTACTTGATACTCATTACTTTTTTCATGGAACAACACTAAATAATCAATTAGAAACAAAGAATTGTACTCTCTCTCCCAATGCTAATCACATAATCGTTTGATTTGATTTAACCAGGTGAAACGATTTGCATGACTCTGAAGAAAAACTGTCTCATTTTTATCAGTCAGACATTCACATTCACTTCTCATTATTTTGAGATGTGACTGTAGCTGCTGGAATTTTTCGGAACTATAAGATTTGATTTGATTTCTTCAAAAAAAATCGCTAAATTACCGTCTTCCCTTATACGAGAACATTTTTGTTGAATAAAGGTTCCGAATAGAATGTTATCGAAAGCAAAGCTCATTACTGTGCGTATAAGTTTTCGTTGTATGACAAACGCTTTTCTGTAAATTTACAAATACATGCCAGTGGAATCGGTTGCTAACAGAAGCCGAAATGATTAACACCTTCACGACAATACGACCCACCGGTGACTCGTACGTGTTTTGCCGTTTCGGACAATACACCCACCGTGGGTCGTACGTGAAATAACACCGAAACACAATTTTACATGAAAATCCATGATGTTGGATTCGTACAAAATGACTACCTTAAACCTACCGTTCACTGCCAAAAACTGAAGTCATGTTTTGGTAATCAGCGCCTTCGAGAACCCTTGTGGGGAAATTCTCGGAGACAAGTTTTGAACTTCTTCCAAAAGGACTACCATTTCGGACACTACGGCCCACGGATGGGTCGTAAGTTCGACAAAGCAAAAAAGGCTCTGGTCCGAAACGGCAGTAATTGAAAAATCGGCATTGTCGTGAATGTGTTAAATTAGAGGAAAATAACTTCCTGACAATTCTCTGAACTTAACAAATTTGTGAAGTAGATCCCGCACTTTTCGAAATGCAGGTTTTTTTAGGAATGGGCCATTTTTGCAATGCCCATAAAACAGTGAATAAAGTGGGTTCCAAAATCGCTTTCCAAGGCCGTCGTAGGCGCGTTACTCATGCTGAGAACGAGAATATTTCGACAGAAGCTATACTCTAATAATCATAAATGAGCTGATTTTATTTAACGAACCACTTTTCAGATAATTTTCTGCACCATTTGCCAAAGAATCTTATCCTGCTTTTGTGAGCTTTTCTTTTGAAGCAGTTCTTGCTTAGTAGGCAAAAAATCCTCAAGCGCCAGTCCTTGAAACTACTACTGGCATTGGTAGATACATGCTGCTTCTGAGAGAAATCTGCCATATTTTGTACATTCTGTTAGGAAAATTTGGAAAATCTGCCTATTTCTGAACCCTCGTCTACAAATCTGTACAAATCGATCATAGCAATCGAATCGTTTTCCGTACCAACGCTGAACAAACGAGAAAAATTGTCGACGCGTCTAATCCTAGCCGGACTCGACCGGCATTTGAACTTTAGCAGGATGAGCTTTTTGTACTCTTGGATTAGCAATGCACGCCTCTTCACTGAGCCTCTAAACCATTAATTACGCTGAGAAATCTTTATTTGCGAAATGTGGGACTTTTCCTACTGCTTTTGGATTTAGCTTTGGATACTGCGGCTACTTGACCTTATGAGGGCGCCCGTCTCAAAAAGGGGCGTGTCTCGAAACTTTGCTAATAATTCTATATTATTCTGAAGCTACATATCACTTATTTTCTTTATTTACAGCCCAAGTTTAGTTAAATTGTCGAGTCCAGTCCGGCCACTACCCAAAATCAAGTTTCCAGCCTACTCTGCCTTCCGTTAAAAAAATAATGTGAATGTCCAAATGCTTCTAAAAGTCCCTAATAGATTGTTTTTATTACAAGTTTAATTATTGAATTTTAGCTGAAAATCGCATTGTTAGTTCGTCCGAATTATTATGACCCTATACCTCCCGATGGGGCGGATCTCCTCCAAAAATAAGCGTAACTCAACTCCTTCTGCAATTTTGAGCTCGTCTTAGGAAAGTTATTCCAGTATCAAATGTGACTTAGAACAATTTGCTTTTTCGAACTTGAATTATCAGCCCATTTTCACTGAAGAGGCGGATCTCCTCTAAAAGTGGGCAAAACCAAAATGATTTTTCTACCGGTTTGAGTGATTGGTTCTTTTTGAGATATACTCAACTTGTAAGAAAAAAATAATTAAAATAATCAAAGAAGCTCATTTGTACTATATAAATAGGCCACTTTTTTTCTAGAGAGGTGAGCCACTTTCAAAAGTGGGCGTAACTTAGATGATTTTCTCACCATTTTGGGTAAGTCATTTTTGAAACTAAAAAATTTGTGTCATGAAATTACGCTACCCCGTTGTAGTACATTCGACAAATTATCTTCTATCAGAAGTTTTTGTGAGAGGAAAGGTTGCGGTTGAAATTATTTCTGAAACATGCCATTCGCCGCAAAAATTCTCACACAATGAACCATTCCTGATATTGGTTTTCGGGGGAGGCTGCCAATTGATTGAAAAATTATTGACATAGCGCTTCCCATAATATAGCCACCATTGTGTACAATTTTCAACCTCGCTTTTCGTTTCAAAATTTACGGCTTCATCGTTTTCAATGTTTTATTATAAAATAGTCATGGATAAATGCACTCTATTACTTTTCTTCACGGTCAATAAAGCTTGTCATTTTACTCAACTGCTGAAACCTCAGAGTAAAACAGGTTTGGCGAGGATCGAGGGTAGTTATGTGGTAGTTCGGCGAGGCACAGAATTCTCAGTAACATCATTGATTTATGTCTTTAGAATTACTTTTAGTCAATATAAGTTGTGGTCCTGACAATATTCTAGACTTCTGCTTTCCAGTTTTCTAAAAATCTACAATTTTCCTACTTTCTGGCCTAGAAATTTTGCGCTTTTGCTAGATATTATGTGTATTCTCTCCTTGGTAGAACTCCTCCGCACAAAGCGCACTTTTGCCATGGAAAAGACCATTTCTAAAAGTAAAAATACCATGTGCAAACAACTGCGGCGCCCTCTCATGCTGCTTCGTCATCGCCCGCAAAAGAAAAATTTCCTTCAATTTCCTACATTTGTAAATTTTTCTGCGACGCGATTTTTGCTTTGTACGGAAACCAGTTTCTATATGTTATACTGCACAACGATCCCATTCCGAAGAAGGGGTAACCTGTCTCTCCGGGAAGCCGTATAGGGCACCAGGAAAAACGTTAAGAACATGACACAGAAATCGCATTCACCCCCATAAAGGTCTTCTGACTGTCCTCTTCTTCCGACCCACCCACCCGCCCACGTCTTCGTTCCTGATTTGGGGCACTAGTGGTGGTGCTGTGGTAGTGCTGGTGGTGCCAAACACCGAAAGCACACTTGCACCTGGCAATCATGCGTGGTGGTGGGATCACGTTCTCGAAATTTCACTACAAATTTCCTAGGAAACCCAGACCGACAGAGAAATCGGAGGTAAATATTTATTTTCAAATAAAAAATATATTTGTTGAAGTGTAGAACTTTTCCGTTTGTTTTTTCTCGAAAATTGCTTTCTTTACATAACTTTCATGAAAGATTCTTCTTGAAACTCTATGACTTTCTCTAAAATTCTATAAAAGATATTGAGGGAATCACAAATTATTGAATCCCTTCAAAGCATTTTTCCATATAATTTTCCTAGAACTTCCTGATCTCAAATATATCAAAATCCTAAACCATAAACAATATTGATGAATAAATCACTAATGAAATTTTTCTAAAACGCTTTCTTTACTCTTATTTCTATTTTTGAAATCGCAAAACTTTTTTCCAAAATCTCAACGGACTAGTTTTATTTCTTGTTTCTTTATCTTGAGAACGTCTATTATTTCCTAGAAAGATTTATTTACTTAATCAAATTCACAATAAATTTCTGAAACGTGAGAAGAACAAAATTCAACAAATTTATTCAGCTGTAGAAAAATTTTTTTTCTTTTCGAAATGCTTTTACAGGACTTTCAAAAAATTTTTCTTTGAAAAGCTTGTCTCAACGTTTCTAAGAACTCAAGAATTTATGCGATTACTCACCATAAAAGTGGCGAAAAGACAAGGATAAGAAACTCACTCTTCAGAGTCTTTTTCCAGTTCCCAAATAAAAAACTAGTCATTCGTTGTCTTTATTACCAGGATTTGATATTTGTAATCAATTATTAAGCAATAGTAGCCCTAGAATTCCCACAAAGAACCCGTTTCGTGCTTGAGAACTACTAGTTGCATTGTCCTACTTACATCCTTTTGACACATTTCAAAAGATTGACACACTTACTCGTTTTCTTAAAGCTGTCCATTTTGCACGATTAATTCCCCGCAGACACTTATCTGCCTATTCCGTGTTAGTCACACATGGCATCGTAATGCTACTGTTTTCTTACCGTATTCGCACATTTCCTAACTATGTTCTCCAATAATTTGAGCTATGTAATATTTTCCTTGCAACATGCCTTCTTACACCTTTGTTTGCCCACTCTCCAAATTCTAGCAAAGGACAAGTAAACATAGGCAAATCTTGTCACATTCACATGCTTGATATATTTTGGGGATGCATCATTGATGTCACAAAATAAATCGTAATACATATGTTCGCAAGCTCTGCCATAATACAGTGTTCCAGAAAGGTAAGATTCTGATCAGGTAGAAGTAGTGAGGGTTCTGTTGTTTACTATGTGAAAAAATCAACAGAAATTTATTATTATTTTTGCATTGCTTTCGATGAGTATAGGTTTAAATGAAGTAGAAGAAGATTGATTTCCTGGTCAAACTGGACGATTGGAAGATTGTATGTATAGGTATGTCCGGCATAAAACTATGGAAGCTCCCCCTTCACATCCTCTAAGATTATTAATGTAAGACGTTGTTGTTATCAGATTAATGGGAATACAAATTGTATATACTCGAACGTGATGTTTTTTGAAGCTCCAACTCAGCTGGCGAGGAAATAACTAGATAGCTTTGTGCAGTAAACTTAATCACCATGATTTGATTTAATCGCTAAGAAATTTGTGACATTCACGATTTTGAAGGTCCTTGCCTTCAGCTTTCGTCCCAAGAAATGCTCACAAATCCTTGTAAGAAGACGTACAACTCATAAGGACATAGATTCCTAGAAGTAGCACTTTACACTTCCATTTTATAAATTTTGCTTCGACTAACTTCGTCTTTTCATTCAGATTGCTATTTATGACCTTGGAAATTAGCTAGATTAGAAATAGAGAGAGTAAATACAAGCAATATGCTTTGACAAAGGGCTTTTTTATTGTCTAAAAGAAGAACAGAGCGAATGTTATCAGAAAGGAAAAGTGTTGTCTAGACAATTCTATCTCATTCGGCATTGCTCTATTTAGATAGCAAATTGAAAGAAAAACTAGAAAAGAAAAAGAAAAGAAACGGACCATATGTTTCAACGAATGTTTTCTCATATCTATAGTGATGGTGTCCACATTTATTCTCGCTCTGAAAAATACAAATCTAGAGTGTTTCCAAATTGGTAAATTAATCTTGAAATACCTAATACCTAAGATAGTAGATCTCAATCGTACGACACTTCAAACTCCATTTTTCCTCTTTCTCTTTCAGAACTTTTCGCATTTTTCTTTCTCACGCTTTTAGATTTTTGTTTGAGATAGAAGGAGCATCAGCGCCGATATGAAGACAGCTCGAAAGTTCAAGCCTTTCAATAATGAGGAGTGAAAATTTGCTGGTGATCTGAAAAATTTTCAAAAAATATGGAAAATTCGTTTTTTCATGTGTGACATGTGTATGTCGAAAAGCTACAACACCTTGCGTAACTCGAAAATGATGAGGATCTTTTCAAGCTGTTACGAGCCTTTTGGTCGAATGTAACAGAAATCATGTCATGACCTATTATATGATGCAGGCTTGAAGCTTTCAACACCTACCGTAAGCCTACCGTAGTCCTGTAGAATGCTTAGTATTCTCTACTCATGACATCTTTCTTCAACTGGAAAGAACTCACCATAAATCTGACTTATCTATTTATTATACAATGCCCTCTTCTAGATCTACAGTACACCTACCATAGTTTTACAGGAAGATGATGCAACAACACCTATATAAGACAGAGACTTACTACCCTTATGTACACATAACATTTATAGAATTGAGAAGTTACTAAAACCCTTTCAACCCTCCATAAAATTCAAATTCCATGAGTATGGCTGGTGTTCTATTCAATCTAGTGCCAGCAACTAGATGCCATTAAAATTGAACGCGATTCACCTATTGTGAACACAGGCATCGACTAATTCCCTCGGTGTTTCGAGGCTCGGTTTCAAGTTTTTTTCCATGCGTTTGGGTGATTCATCGCTGACAGGCATTTCCTATCATTGTCGTTACTGATGCGTTATTCCTCTTTTAGTCAGTGGAATGTTATTTATTGCCGTTTGAATCGTTTTTTGCTAAAGTGAAACGGTCATTTCAAAGTTTTAGAGTATTGTCAGTAACACTTTTACACAAAAATAATCATTATCATTCGGTTTGGCTGAGTTTGTAGGGTAGATGCCCTTGGTGTGCGAAATCAGAATTTTCGACCCATTTCCCATTTTCCAATTTTCAACAGTTCTTTGCAATTCGTGCACCGCTTTGTTACGCGAGACGATAAGCTTCTTAACCTTGACAGAAATCTGCATTATTCTTCGTAAAAAATTCTAGATTCCGTGAGCAAATATGGGGGGTCAAACTGTCCACAAATCTCGCCCGTTTAAACAAGAATCATTAGCTTCTTGTACAATTTTTCTAAGTTTTTCACTACTCATCTAAATTTCCTATTTGGTAGCAAAGGAATGAATAATACTACAAGCTCTTCGCAGAAAATTTTCTTAAGTTTCTTTCCCCTAGAAATTCCCCCTATGAAATGGTAAAAGGAGATAACGAAAAAATTCTAAGTTGTCTAGACTGTGTCAAACCCCTACGCTTGCTTTTCTAACCATTATTTGTCAGCTCTTTAGAAAATCCGCCAAATTTTTCTCCCTCTACAATTTTCCTTTCAGTAGCAAAAAGAATGTGATAGGAATTTCTAGATTTCCTAGGAAAACAAGGCGTGGAACTGTCCGCAATAGTTCGTCAACTTCCTATAGAAACTTCTTGCTAGGTTTTCCGCCTTCCTTCGAGAAACTTCTAATACCCATTCAGTAGCGAAAGAAAAATAATGAGTCACATTGCTTAACCAGTTATAGCATGAAACTCCGAGCGGGACACACCCATAATTGTATGGTTTTATCCCCAACCATAACCACTTTGGAAAATACATTGCATGTGTTTTCTTACCTTGTCGCCCATTCAAATTCCACATACTAAGAATGTTCTTTCGTAATACTTACTTCTGTCTGGTCATGCTTCCTCAAACTTTTCTAAAAATTCTCAATCCAATAAAATTTGTAAACTTTTTTCTTGGTCAAAGCCAATTAAGTAGCGAGAATGTTCTCTGCCTATGTTCTGAGTTCTGTGTAAGGTATCTTCACATAATCTTTTTATAACCAAGGTTCAACCCGAGACCGGAAACCCTGAAAGACTATTACTTGTTCTAGTCCTGAATAATTTTTGATGGACAGTGTACTCATTTTTGAGACACTGTCTCAGTCGCAAGGCAAACCTAATTTTTTTTTTGAATTTTGATGAGTCAGACACGGAACAAAGTCTGTGATTGGTCAAGATTAGTTTTGAATTGAAAATACTTTAACGTTTATGCCGTGGTTGTTTATGTGTTGATGTTGATGGTTAAGTCTTTATCAAGCAGGAGCCGAAAAAGAGCGGAAATTTATAGCTCGTAAAAGAATTGGATGAACCTTCGAAATTGTATAAAGGATGTGAAATAGAAAGGCTAAGAGACTCATATTTGAATTAGAATCGTGAGGACACCAGTGGCGATCAAGGGGTGGGAGAGGATGTGCAAGCCCTTGCACTTCGAAAATGAGTTGCGTATTTTCAATGTGGTGCAATGAAGTATAAAGTTCTATTAATAACTTGTCCTTGCTATTAAATAATTGAGTTGTTCTACATTTTTTTGAAGTCCAAAAAAATTTTCATGCATAGCTCCTGCCACTCTCCCTTTATCGAAACTCGGAGTTACAGTTTCGAAAAATCTTAGAAAGTATCCCAAAATCCGGAGGGCGTGGCTGATATTATAACTTCCCCGACAAGAAAAAATTTAAGCTTGCAGCTCCTCCTTTCTCCCTGAAATTATTCTTGAGTCCATCATGGATACATACAATCGTAACTATGATTAATAAAGCCATTAGTCATGGTTTCGGAATTTTTTGTAGAAGAAACGTCTGCAACGAACATGGAAATTAATCGTTCGTCTATTTATTATAGCAGTGGATGTTGTTTCAGCTTTGGACTACTCTTTTTTGAAGCTAGTAGAGCTTTAGCATTGCTACAGACGTGTCATATAATCACGCTATGCATAGCGATTCAAA